GGGGGTCAGCACCATGTGGGAATCATGGGAAGGGTTAGAGGGTCAGCATGGGGTGGGAATTGTGGCAAGGGTCAGTGCCATGTGGGAATCATGGTAATGGTCAGTGATGAGTGGGAATCGTGGCAATGATCAGTGCCATGTGGGAATTATGGCAAGGGTCAGCATCATGTAGGAACCACGACAAGGGTCAGCAATGTGTGGGAATCACGACAAGGGTCAGCAATGTGTGCGAATCATGGCAAGAGTCAAGGGGTCAGCATGGTGTAGGAATCATGGCAAGGGTCAGTGCTGTGTGAGAATCATGGCAATGATTCCCATGTGGGAATTATGGCAAGGGTGAGCATCATGTAGGAATCACGACAAGGGGTCAGCATGGTGTAGGAATCATGGCAAGGGTCAGTGGTGAGTGGGAATCATGACAATGATCAGTGCCATGTGGGAATTATGGCAAGGGTCAGCATCATGTAGGAACCACGACAAGGGTCAGCAACATGTGAGAATCATGGCAAGGGTCAGGGGGTCAGTGCTGTATGAAATCATGGCAAGGGTCAGTGGTGAGTGGGAATCGTGGCAATGATCAGTGCCATGTGGGAATCATGGCAAGGGGTCAGCAATGTGTGGGAATCATGGCAAGAGTCAAGGGGTCAGCATGGTGTAGGAATCATGGCAAGGGTCAGTGCCATATGGGAATCATGGCAAGGGTCAGGGGGTCAGTGCCGTGTGAAATCATGGCAAGGGTCAGTGGTGAGTGGGAATCGTGGCAATGATTCCCATGTGGGAATTATGGCAAGGGTCAGCTTCATGTAGGAATCACGACAAGGGTCAGCAATGTGTGGGAATCACGGCAAGGGTCAGTGCCATATGGGAATCATGGCAAGGGTCAGTGGTGTGTGAGAATCAGGGCAATGATCAGTGTGGTGTAGGAATCATGGCAACGGTTAGAGGGTCAGCATGATGTAGGAATCATGGCAAGGGTCAGCACTGTGTAGGAATCATGGCAATGGTCAGAGGGTCAGCATGATGTATGAATCATGGTAAGGCTCAGTGCCTTGTGGGAATCATGGCAAAGGTCAGCACTGTGTAGGAATCACAGCAAGGATCAGGGAGTCAGTGCCACGTGGGAATCACAGCAAGGAACAGTGCTGCATGAGAATCACAGCAAGGATCAGCGCCGTGCAGGAATCACGGCAAGGATCAGAGGGTCAGCACCGCGCAGGAACCGCCCCTGGCACCCGCGGCACTGCCGCTGCTGAGCACTCACCACGCCCGCAATCAGCTGCTGGAAGAACCGCTGTGCCTCCGGCTCTGGCATCCCGACATCGGGCTCTGCACGCGGGGAAGAAGAAGGGAAGAGCAGCCCTCAGAAGTGTGGGGATGACAATTTAGGATGCCCGCTGCCCCTACATGCCCGGTACCCCGTGCGCACCGATGCGGTCGAAGAGCTCCCCGCCGCGGCAATACTCCAGGAACAGGTACTGCGTGGCGCCCTCCCGCCGGTGTCCGTAGAACCGGACGACGTTCTCGTGGTTCAGCATCTTGTTGATGCAGATTTCCTTCTTGATGTTCTCCGGGCACTCGGCCGCGCGCTTCATGTCCACGATTTTCACGGCCACGGCCTCCTCGGTGCGGCGGTTCACGGCCAGCTGCACCCTGCGGTGGGCACGGAACAGGGAGTGGGCATGGCAATGCTTCCCCCAGAGACAGGCAGCAGGCAGGGAATGGGGAGAAAACTCTGCCTCTGGAGATGGCAGCAGGCAGGGAATATTGGCACTGGAGGCAGGGAATGGGCAGCAAATGGTGCGGGCAGGAGCAGGCAGGGAATGCAGG